TGTCCGAAATCGTCGAATTTGTCGATTTTTGAAATATTGCCGTAATATTAACAATAATCGTCGGATTTTAACATTGGATACATTTTGACATAGCCAGAGACAAGGCACATAGCCATGGTTCTTTAGATTTTTGATTTTCCACCAATCGTCGGAGATATTAGGCGCCAAATTTTGAAAATTTAAATTTTTACAAAAAACTTTTTTATTCATGAATATTTTAATGTGGTATTTTACCCAGGGTTAAAGAGTCATCTGATTTGACCAAAAATGGCACCATTTTTTGTCATCGTAAATTTCCTTGACCCCCATTGGCTAATTCAGTTTTTCAGTCCTGGATAATTTATTTATTGCTCGATTTGTATAAAACAAAGTTCATATGCTCCGTAATCCAAAATGTCATTTTTTTTGTTACCGGTAAAGTTACCTTTCGGCAACGGAAGTGACGTAAATTTAGCAAAAACTACAATTTTGACAGTTCGGTACCACTTTTTGAAAGCAAATATTATTTTTTTCAAATCTGGTATGACTGAAAGTGTGTGCCCTGTAAAGGCGCAGAAAACATCGGGCTCAGTTTTTTTAATTTCGATTTCGTTTTCGGGTCATTTTGATTTAAAGGTGAAAAAAGGTGAAAAAATGAGCTATTTACAACCCATTCAGGCTTTTCATATTTTAAAATATTTCTTCGCAACTTTCATAAACTTGTAGCATTAATCCATACGAAGAGAATCTATCTCAAAATTAGTTTGTAATATGAGCAGTTGCCGAGAAATGGTCAATTTTGCATGAGTCACTCTTTACGCTATTGTGTCTGTAAAAGAGTCAATTATTATTGGATTTTCATAAAGGTGACACCATTTGATGCATAATGTCATTGTGACTCAATTTAACATTTTCCATGTCACCGGAAATGACGAAATTTGGGTAAAAACTGTATTTATAGCCTTAGAAACAAATAATTTATTGAAATGAGTCGTATTTGTTGTTTGTATAATATTTTGATATTTGATTCTAATCAACTAATAGAATGAACCCATACGATCATATAGGTATCACAAAATGGTTTCTAACTTGTTCAGTTGTAGAGAAATAGGTAATTTTCAACAGGTCACTTTTCAAGGTTTTTTGTCCATAAAAGTGTCAATTATTATTCGATTTTCATGAAATTTTCACTATGTGATACCTAATGCCATTTACGATTTCATACAAGTAATTTAAGATTTTCATTATCACCGGAAGTAACGTCATTTTGGCAAAAACTGTATTTTTAGCTTTCAAAACAGATATTTTATTCAAATGAGTCTGAGTTGTTATGTTTTTAAAATTATGATATTTGATTCCAATCAACAAATAGAATAAACCCATACGATCATACAGATTCCAGAAAATGGTTTCTAACTTGTATGGTTGCAGAGGAATTGACGGTTTTCTACAAGTCACTTTTTAAGGTTTTTGGTCTATAAAAGTGGCAATTATTATTCGATTTACATAAAATTTTCACCATGTGATGCCTTATGCCATTTCTGATTTCATAAAACTAATTGAATATTTTCATTATCACCGGAAGTACTGTACACTTACATGTAACAAATATAAAAAATGAATTGATATTGCTGGATTTGGTTGATTCGGCGTCCATTTTATTTGATGTGTGCAATGATGAGGTGGAAACCTGTTTAATGGTTTCATTGGTACCGGAAGTGACATATGTTTAGGGTAACGTGGCACCGGTGAAACCCGTCATTACTGCATCGCAGTTCTAGTTACCTTTATCTTTATATTAAATCAAAAAGAGTCGAACATGTTGCACTTATATATATGAAGGCAATTGACCATCTCGATTTGTTTTTCATAATGCTACAGATCATATATATGACATATCAGTGTTGGGTTATACATATTTACAGGATGGGGGCAATTGAATCCTCCCTCGAGGGTCAGTCGTTAAACCGAGGCTATCCTAAAATTGGTTTCTCAAATAGCCACCTCGTCGGCTTGGGCTAGAGGCTGAGGCAGACATCATTTTGACATGATTGGGGAATCGTAGAGTTATTTCGCAGATCACTCGGCTCAGGCGAGCGGCAATGAAGAAATTGTAGTGAATCAGTGGATAACTCCGCAATGCTACAACTATATTACATTAAGAGAACTTGCTTCTGGATGTCTTGAAATAAACCGGAAGTTGGTGTTTGGACTTATGTATATTTGTAATAAATAGCATAGCTGTTTGAAACTTTTGTAGAAAAACAGAAAAAGAGAACTGCTATTAATAGACAAATATTTCAAATATTTGTGAAGGAATTGTTTGTGGAACACAACAGACCACCATTGCGACATAGAGGGTATTACACTGCATTACGATTTCTTTAACTGTCATATGTTCTCTTCTTTGAAAAAATCAGATTTAATTTAGCGCGATTGGCTAAAAGAATTACCGCCTAGTGAACGAATCTCTTCATTGGTAAACTGAGGAGCCAGGCCAATTGAACACAGCGTAATATTTTGACAGCATACATAACGAATAGCCAACAAAGTACACTTAAATTCACACTCATTGTCGTTTAGAAGATTAATAGGCGGTAACGTTATTTAATTTGATCTCCATCCTTCCCAAGGCTGTGTGAATGGCCAAATGGTAGATCATCATAGATTGTATTCTTTGATGCGTTAGGCGAAACAGAAATTGTCAAGGAGTAATATCAGGAGACGATGTAGATATTATCTAGACCAACCTGTATCTATAGTGTACAATCCCACCATGACGTCTTGTTTTTCACATCGCTGTAATGTACATTGTGATTTAACGGTTCCATTTCCTTTAATACATTTTCCGTCGTGTGCACATCCTGAAATAATTTTCAAACCAGAAGTCCAAGTTCAATTATAGCGAACCACTTCTTAGACACCTTAATGTTTTGGAGGTTTAAAAATGATTTGCCAGGATCTCTGCATGAATATTAATGGAAGGATAATTTTTATCAGCTCATTTAAGCTGGCTTATTGTAACTTGAAAATGGATATTGAAACTCAAGAATGATTCGGAGACTGCAGCGCCCCACCGACCCCCGTCTAATACACACCAAAACAGATTGTGGTCTACTTATCAGATGGACATTTCTGTACTACCCGTGGACTTCCCCTTGTCTACTAAAGTACAAAGTGCAACGTAAACTGTTAGCTGTGCGAATTGGTATCAACTAGAATTAGTATCTTGCGTTATAGAAGGATTAAGTATACACTGTAGTTGTTTACACTGCCGAAGCAATTATACTCCACTATAAATAGCTTTCTATTATTATTATTATTACTTAATTTGAAATAAAGTTAGTAAATTGCTTTTAGAACAATATTATACAACTAGCAATAAGCTTTCCGAAACAGATAAGATTTAAGAGCCTTTTTGAAGATAAAAAGGGACGAGCTTGGGCGAATACTTAGTGGAAGATCATTCCTCAGTTTGGGAGTTCCACAGTTTACTGTTTTGGATTTCAGAATTTAGATTATGGCTTAAATCAATTCATTATCATACCCTCAAGCTGAAATAGCGGCCGAGAATGAGGTGCCGCTCTTATTCGAAAAAGGACATCTAAAACTACCCGTTTTCCAAGTTTCGTGTTTTTGTCAAAAAGTGAAGGCTTTATCACCTAAGTGACCTGACTATAATGTATGTCCCACACAGATTCACAACACGTACATCGAAGTTGTAATGTAAAATATTGAATTTAATACCATACCCCAGTCTGTGACCTCGGTGTGATATACACTTCCCTGTTTAAAACAGGTATAAGTATTACAGCCTTCTAGATACGTCTTATCGACTCCAATGCAACCATTTTCTCGCGTCTCACACCCTTAAAAAGCGAAAATACCTTAATTTGAAACTGATTATAAGAACATTTGTAGACTAAGCAACTATGACTGATACATGTCAATAGTAAATCCTACAGTTCAACTAATTTCATTTCATGTTCAAGCTGTCCATTGAGGTGTCAAAGCAGTAGCATCCGTCAGCCTGGATCATCTGTTGAACTCGCCTCATCAATGACTGAATGAGCCGTTGGATAGAAGCCCGTGTTCATCTATCTCATTCCTGGTGGCAGGATTCCGCACTGGTGGACACCTATGGCGGAATTTACGACCAAGAATGTTCCGGATATATTCAGGTCAGGGCTAGCCAAGGTAGCCTAGAATAGCAACAGCCCCCTACGCAGAAAATCAACAACAACACGCGCATGGTGTGGTCTAGCGTTGTCGTTCATAAAAATTGGTCTTGTGAGAAGAGGATGATTATCAAAGTGGAACACTACAACCCTGTCTAGGACGTTTCCAGTGGAAGCTTACAGTCATATTAAAGGCAATCCCATATCATGATAGAGCCACCGCCGTATTGAATCTGACAACGTGATAAAGACTGTATGCATCTCCAAAACACAACGTGAAGTCAACGTGGGGCCAGACTATCGAATTCATAATAACGAATTCAGGATATTAAATTCAGAATATTAAATTTAGAATATTAAATTTAGAATATTAAATTCAGAATATTTCAGCCTAACTAAGTGAAACTCAAAAACTAGACAACCATCCGTAATCAATCACTAAAGAAAAGGGAAATAGTGTCATACATCAATTGGAAACAAATTATGTGTATGAGTGTATATTTAATTTAATACACTAATAACGACCGAATAAAGATATTTTCTTTTGAAAATAGTTTTCTTTAATAATTTAAATGGTCATTGCTGATGAATTTTATGAGTTTTGATTTATTTTCTTTATTGTAAAAGACTTTTTATTTATGAATTGTCAAAAGTAGTGCTTCAGAACAAAAGCCAGTTTCTGGACATGAGAACAACCTAAAACGCCAGAAAATATTGTCCCTGTTGGAGTTACTAGCACTTTTTGAAATGAATATTTAATTTTGATTAAAACTTTCAGAAAAAATAAATGAATGCTACCTTCTTTTAGAAGAGTAAAACCAATGGATTGGCCAACACGTTTGCATTGATGGACCATACAATTACTGATTTTAATTTTGTGTCCTATTGGCACGCATGAGTTGTCGGATAATCGGCAACCTGAAAACAAATAAACTCTATTATCGGTATTATCATCATGGGTCCTGTTTCTCGAAATCTTAAGCTAAAGATAAAATCCAAATTTTAGTAGATACTTCAATTTTGATTGGCTAAGCACTAAAATCAATCTAATATTATCCAATCAAATTACTAAAATCTGGATTTTATCTTAGTTGAAATTTCGTGAAACAGGCTCCAGATACGTGGTATTTTAAAGAATTTAATATAAGGGAGACAACTGTATATATATATTTGGAGTAAGACCACTAAACGTTACTGTTAATTCGTATCCTTTGTACGACTCTAACCTTTTTCAATGAACTATATATATATAGACGCTCTCTACCACAGATTGAACAACATTGAACAATGACTTCCCCCAAAACCTGTATGAGGTTAACACTGAAATTTTGAGATACACATTTTACATGTACTATGCTAGTAAACATATAACTTCCCGCCATACATATCGTCATCAACCTCTCAAGCCTCTCGGCTGTGTTATACTTCAGTATCTAAACCACGAATATTTACCAAAATCAGGCATGTATACATGTACGTGTTTACATTACACTTACGTATATCTATGGGTATAAATGCTCGATTCTGGCATCTGTATGTTATACATGGACCACTTTGTTTTGTTGTAAAATTGTGACCATTAGGCACAATTTTTCCATCGACAGAACAGCTGAGACTAGTATTTGCTTCATCCACTGTGGAAGGATCTAACAATAAATAATATGTTATTGAAACATATTAAATTTGCGAGGGGCAAAAAAAGGTAACATATCTTTATTAGTCATTAAAAATAACAGCTAATATGCGAATGTTATAAATGATTAAAATCAGGGTTATACTGACAGACTCTGGTAATTGATGAGTATGTTCACCCTCGTCCAAAGTAAATATACAAATACGTTCACAAACTTTTTCGGGATCTCTTCGATATCTACAGTCCCTCTTTGTAATTGTAATGATCCACATCTTAGCTTAGACATATCTTTCCCATGTGTTGTATTTTAATTTTACAAGAGTTGCATTACATTATCGCTTTTACATTCTATAATAATATGACCGTAGTTTATTTCGATTAGCTTTTTTCTTGTCACTCCCAAAGTGAACACCATAGACCATATATCATAAGTATCTTCCTTATCTTGTAAAATGCCAAGTTGTTTTTTTACCTAACTAAATTGACGATAATCCCATTACGATTTTCGCTTTATTAACCCTTTATGAGCAATTTTACATAAAGCATTTATTTCCGGAATGATAATTGATTTTATTCCACAATCTAAAAACTGCCTATTGCAGCTATATTACTACCTCCTGTACTGAATCCTAAGCAAAATTTGCATGCATTAATATGGAAATTATTTATAAACTTCCGTACAATAATATATATGTAAACGATAGAATTTGTTGTGCCTTTCAAGAGACTTCGATATCTCCAGTCTAACAATTTCAAAGGCACATATTCGTTTGATGTATTTGTAAAAGACCATTTGAAATTTATTTACACACACAATGAAATACATACCGTATAAAACACTACCTTGTGTAATACCAAAAACCAGGAACAGTAACAAATGGGAAGCCCTGTTAATAAATCAATTTTTAAAAGGCCGTAGAAATATTATTGAACGACATACCCCCCCCCCCCAAAAAAAAAGCAAAAAAAAAAAAACAAACAAAAAAACAGATCAGTAGAATGATATCTTTCAGTAGCCGATTACCGTTGAACGTTTAAAACTAGAATTAGTGCAACTCGATGGTCAGGATTCAATGGATATGATGTGCTTCCTGTCCAATATTTAGACTACCGCAAAAAGGAATTAGGTTGTTTTTACGCTACGCTTGTTTTGTTTCAATGAATGTATTTTTTAAAATGATTTTGACATTGATCTTCAATCAAATCAAATTTTTAGATAGTCTATTTTTATTGACTTATTCACTTCATGAATTCAATCCTTATTATGACCTAAGGTTGCCTTATCGAAGCTAAAACAAGATAGGTACCGATTCGATCGGGGTACCGATTCATACCGCTATACCAGTTAAGACAGAATTTCAACAGCTGATAAACTGTGTCTTTTATTTCACTTAAAATAAAAGATATGTATTACGAATAAATAGAGCAGATTTGAACTGACAATACTTAAACATGCATTATCCAAGAGCTTATTAACTTATCCAGGTCATAATCAACTCTCGATGCCATCGTTAGCCTGCGATATTTAGTGGATTTGAATACATTTTATGAATGTGGACGTATAAGAATGAATAATCGTCGCTAATATTTCGGTTCAGAGTGAAGCAATTTGACTGAAATTTTCAACATAATCTTGTTTTTTAAACTATTTTAGGAGAACTGTCAGCTCTTTAACTAATCGTACCTAATGCCACTTTAAAAGAATAATAATACTTAAAATACATACGTGAACATTGTTTCTTCTCTCTATATCAAAATTAAACTGTGAATATCTACTTGTCACGGCCAACTTACGATCAACAGGTAAACGATTGGCTATGATCTGGGTGTATCTTCACTTGGTCATAGATATACATGGTTATATTTGATAAGAAAAACATTTTTAATTGCACACCCAGACAACGAAATAATGTTGCACTGATTGCAACTACAGACGCTCTGTTTGCTTAACGTTGAAATTGAGATTTGCCGATAATTAGGAGCCAGGGCTTGGCTTAAACCTCTTTTGACTCCCTTAAAAATGAAATGAGATGGAGTGGGGTTCAAAGTCCAACTTTTTTGCACCGACTGGGCTAGTGAAGACGGGACCGCCCAATAATAATATGCAAAGATATCACTGTCAAATTTAATTTTCATGATAACAGCCAGCTGCTTGAAACTCTAATTAGTGTCTCAGCCATGTCCGTCGAGTAAGCAATTGGAAGCAAAGGCTAGGATACTTTCTCCAACAATCTGGTCAACGCATTATCGACGACCCATTTCTTACTTGCTTAGATCCATGGCATTTTTTACTACATAAGTAGTGGTGCAAATGCCCCATTGCTGAAGATAATTGCCCCATTTGTAAAAAAATAAATAAGCAGTAGCGCTATACAAATGATTTCAACTGAAACTGCTGAGAGATTGAAACTAGAATATTTATGTAACCACCACACAGGGCGTCATCTCCCAAAACATCACTAATGTCTGCCGAAATTCAATGTAGATCGGTCTTATCCAGGATAAACGCTGTTGCAAATGAATACATATCAGCGAATATTGACTGAGTGATTGCCCTTGTGTCAGGAAAACCATGTAAACGACTGTAAAGAAATGTTATCAGTGCTCAATTTAATCATACTCTAAAGTTGCAATTTCATATTTTGAAGTTATATTTTTAAAATTTATTAAAATAAAGCCTTAAAATAGATGGTATCTATAAACAGTCCTACCTTGTTAAAGAATAATCCTATTAATCCTATAATTCACTATTGCCAGTTGAGAAATTGGCAAAAATATCATTTTCCTCTTCAAATTCAAACGTTTGAAAAAAGCTACTCCATGGTGGAGAATAGAAAACAAGGGAGGTAATTGGGAGGTAATTGTGTTATTATTTCCGGTGTAAATGAGTTTTAAGTGTGAGAATGACACCTATGATCGTATAATAGTGAGTTGACAACCTATTGAGCAAAAGACATAGAAATAATTATGTTTTGACTGTCTTAGAAAATATGAAATTGTAAATTTAAAGTGAACCCTGTAAAAAATCGTCACATTATTTATGGAGTTATTGCCCCTGACAAGGCAACATTGTAATTTTGTGAGAGACTGAAACGTCTAACGTTAAATTGAATTGTATTTTCTGGGCAAATCCATAGAAAATGAAATGAAGTAGCGTACAGTAGCTGGGTCTCTAACTCAATATCATCCAAAGTCTTCGACGTTGAAAACACGAATTATTTGTCAATTTAAATAAACATTGATGTTGTGATCTTACCGGGAAAAGATGGGCTTCAGGTATCTGATATTTAAGAAAAAATAGACATTGTACTACTGGTACACGGATCGTGTACCATAATGCCTTTCAGCTCTATTTGTAACAAGGAACTCGAAGAATGAGGCTAGACATGTTCCACAAGTCCCATATTCTTATCTGAAGAGCATGCGCAATAAATACCTTGGTGTAGAATGGCGTTAGAGATTGCATTCGATAGAGACTTCTGGCGTATTTCGTCGATCATTTTGAAATTAGAGTGAAAAGAGACATTCATATTACATTTTTATATGCGTTGCGACCAATTTCTGTCAATTTCTAGGTCCCAAATATTAGCGATTTATCTTCTTTAATGTCACATCAGTACCAACGAGCTATATTGTGCCATACATGTTGAATTTTACGAGACAGACGAGTCGATGCTTTTACAAAATATGCAGTACAGATGCGCATTAGCCTGTTCGAAATAGAGCTGGACCCAGGGAAGGATAACCAATCAGTAACACCACTTTTACGAGGGAGGGAGAGGGAGAAATGGGGTTTAACGTCAACTCGACACAAACTAGGTCATTTCGGGACTAACATATGGTCTAATTTTATTTCAATAATTCGCTTGCGCGTAGAGGTCTTTAGCAGTGGGAGGAAACCGGCGGACCCGGAGAAAACCCACGAGGTTGGACAGGCGACCCTACTCCTTGTCACGTACAACCGGGGATTCGAAACCACGCCAGTTGACTCAATGACAGGCCGTATGATACAGCACGCACGTGCTAACCATTCGCCCCCCCCCCCACTTTTACGAAGGTGGGGTTGAATAATATGTGGTTGTAACGCTCAACAATATTTATATTGAGTAATCCAAACTAAAACATAACATACTTTCACAAATTACGCAGTACAGATAAGAACCGGACTCGGGATAAGAACCGGACTCGGGAAAAGATAACCAATCAGAAACATCACTTTTATGCACGTATCTGATTATACATGTCTGTGACGTTAGGCAATATATATATATATGTATATTGAAGGTTATAAGTAAGTATGCGTACATGAATGCATTTTATTATAAGTTGTTTATCTCAAGTTGCCATACTTATAGAGAAAGTTTTCAGCCTATGACGCTGGAAATGTTCGATTTATCAGTTCGGCATTTATATGTTCATGTAAGTCAATATTCGCCTTGACTAATTTATTCACTAGCTAAGCTCATGATACTGTAATAATTTTTAACAGTTTTATCTTTTGTTTATAGACAGCAGACAGTGCCGGATTTACCTGTAGGTTTTTCGACTCAAGCCCAGAGCCCTAAGATCCAAGGTGTACAATATTCTCATTTAAGCCTTTCTTACACACTTAGACACACACACCCACACACACGCACACACACACGATCATCCTCGGCTTTGCTCAGTGTTTAAAACGCACTTTCGGCTTCGTCTAATCGTGACGGTAGGGGGATTGTGAGCGACCTCATGAGTGGAATAGCCCAGGGCTTCGCTGCATATAAATCCACCACTGAATTCAGATTAAAGATATCAATGGCCTTGGATAACACCAGCGTAATGCTTCTTTAATATTGTTGCTTATTCTTTAAATAGTTTTGAAACCAAAGCAGGGGTGCTAATGAAATTATTTGTTACATTGGTACTGGCCAATGAGTCGACAGAAAATGTACGTTAAATGTATGTTGTATATTGAAGATCACCCTATCAGCATTCTGTTCCAGATCGAAAACTGTGATTAGGGATCACTATACGATTTACTGAGTGTAAGATAAGGGCTTTCCTAATAAATGGTATCATTTCATTATGTGACAATGACCTATAAACAATATGCATAGTACATAATATAATAAATCAAAAGAACAACTTTGTTGAATACTAGAGTAGTATCAAGAGAATTTATTATCCATTACATTTATAACCAACATTTAATCCATTAACCATACAATTACAATTTGCTGTAATATTTCCATTAATAATCATCTGCATGTTCGCTCCATTACTATGACACACCCCCTGGGAGTCTTCACACACTAATAATAACAAAATCACACGAATAAATAAGCACGGATTTGATAAAGGGTTTTGGGTTAGATTTAAATTACAAGAGCAAATTTAAATTACAAGAGCTAACCCAGCTAAACTCGAAATATAACAAAACGTTTATATGTTACTTTCAAATTTTGGGTTCTTCCAACAGTTCGAACAGTTCGAATCTAATAATATGCAACGTAACGCAGCTACGTGGAGCAAGAGTAGTATCTGAAAGACGCAGTGCGTGCATAATCTTCCGGAACATCTGTTTCACATAGCTCACATTTTTTGTATAACACCGAAAATACAGCCACCAGCAGCTTTGTGAAAGGAGACAGTAGAACCACACTGGGCTGTGATTTAAAGTTAAATCATTGACAGGGGCAAGTCTCGACCGATTAACCCGTATCCAAGAAAATTATTGCTTGACTTCGGAACAGGATATTGAATGATTTTATATCTTGGTATGTTGTCGTTAAAAAGTTTACGTTGCGATTTTGTCTTTTGTGGTATTAACATAGTAAGTCAAGAATAACCAAACCAACTTTCGCTTAAAATTTCAAAACTAATATTTAATCGTATAAACCTCGTCCTCCAGTAATTGAAATAAACACACCAGCCAAACCCAATCCAAGAGTTTGGTTCAATTTTATGAAAACGCAACTTACTTGCAGCAATTGGTTTTGTAGTATGATATGACAGACCATTTATATTCTGTGTCTCACAAGAATATAAAATACATTTATATAAACCCTGTCCTCCTACATTTATGCATTGACCATCACCATACTGACATCCTTAATATCAAATGTAAATAAATTATTAAACTGGGAAATATTTCTAAGATATGGAAATTTGGTCAATAGCAGCAACGAATTCTAACTGTTAAGGAAACCATACCAGCCTGGTTTACCATGATCGTTCGAATAAGAGAGAGAGAGAGAGAGAGAGAGAGAGAGAGAGAGAGAGAGGGGGGGTAACGTCCACTCGACACAAACTAGGTCATTTCGGGACTAACATATGGTTCAATTTTATTTCAATAATTCGCTTGCGCGTAGGGGTCTTTAGCAGTGGGAGGAAACCTGAGGACCAGGAGAAAACCCACGAGGTTGGACAGGCGACCGGGGAATCGTAATCACGGCAGTTGACTCAATGACAGACCTTATGATACAGCGAGCACACGCTAACTATTCGGCCATCCATTCCCCTCATTCCGAATAGGACAGCGTTAAAATGTTCGGTGGAGCGAACAAACGAGGTGCCGTGTACATTTTTGCATACACGTACAAGCACTCGATGAAGAATAGGCGGAGGAGCTGCTGTCGGGTAAAATTGCCTTCCGTGTACACTGTATGGTGTATACTCATCTTCATTCTCCGTTTGGCTCGGAAAATTAAGACGTCTAAAAAAACCCATTTCAATTCCTACTGTCAAGGATTCATATACGTGCACGCCGACAAGGACACGGGGGACCTCGGGTTCTTTTACGGCTCCAATGACAATGAGAAGGCGATACAGGGCTGGACCCCCCCCCCCCGCCAAAAAAAAAATATATATTCAAATACACTTTTGCTTTGGAAAGTGCATTATGTAAGATTTAGATATAGCCGTTCTTGCTACAATAGTTCATTCAAATTACTTTATTCTGAGCGAAGTTATCAAACGTTTGGAGTTTTGACAGGACGTGCCATAGATTGTTTATTATCGTAAAGGCTTAGTCTTACTTCTCCATTTATAAATTGCGTAATTAAATGGCCGAAGCGTTCTTATCTACTTAAAATTGGAGACATCCGATGACTTGTAATTAGAGACTTGATTATGGGCTCGTCATGTTAATGAATGTCTAAATAATAATTTATATAACATTTGAAGCCCAAATAGAGACTTGCAATGGGCAAATTTAGCTCTTACATAATGCATCTTTAAGGACAGGTGTTAAAAGAAAATAACTAATTTTATCAGCATACCATTCTACCGGGCGTATCCTCTGGTCACTCGCCCAGAATCTAGCAAATTTGTGAATCTGGCAAATTTATTTTGTCACTCGCCCAGAATCTAGCAAATTTATTGTGTCACTCACCCAGAATCTGGTAAATTTGTTGTGAATTGTATTAAAGAACACCCATAATATTCCTCGCATTACCGAATGTATATCACAAACAAATGTCATTGTTTAATCTAAACGAACTAACAACAACCGAAAAATGTGCAATTGTTTACGTGTGTACCACATTCCCCGCCCATCCCAACACATACTATTAAATACTTTACTACGAATAAAGTAATAACATAGGGCTGATGATACATACCGCTTTGTATTGGGTACATTCCAATCACATCCCCACGTTTTTCACATCGGTTAACTTGACATTGGGTCTTTTCAATATGACCGGCCTTTAAACATGTATTTCTGAATCTACAGCCTAATTGTAAAAGAGAGGATGATCTATCAATAAACAATAATCTAGTTGTTTGCTACATATATGAAAATAATAATATACCAAGATAAAAAACAATTCTTCATTCTGATATATATATCAAATCATAATCTTAATCGAGCGTCTTCAGATACGCGTGAAATGAAATGAAATGGGTTTTAAGTTAATGCCCTACTCCATGCGGTTTTTATGAGGGAATTTTGGACGGACAGTGGCGCTATTGCCTACTCTTATATCTAATTCCATCTGTCAAGGGTTATTTTACGTACACACCAATGAGTACACGGGACCTCAGTTTTCGTGCCTGTCAGGCCCTCTGTAATGCACTACTGACAAGAGGAAACCATGCCGGAAAATCCAGATGAATGCTCTCAACTAACGCAGGGATCGAAAATTGGACCTCCAGGTTAGCGAGCCAACATCTTACTCACTGATTCACCGTGGCTCCTCAGATTTGTTTTTAAACAATATTTATTCACAGAAACTGGACTGATAAACAGACAGAAGCTCCTCAGATACGCAAATTATCCACGGACACCTCATATTGGCTCGTTAAGTTACGTCAAAATTCGCGAAGCCTAGTTAGTGTTTTCGACTAAATTCATCGACCCAGGAATTAAAAATGTCGTCAACTAGCTTCGTGACTGTTCTCAAACGGAGCTAATTGTAGATAGAGAGCATAACTTTCATATTGACGGCTATCAATAGTTACACCGAGGTTTCCTTTAAAAACTACTTGTTTGATTACTGAGATCTGATTATAAAGTGTTTAAAACTCTCAATTTTTTGTAAGAAAAGTGGAAGCTTACCCCATTCTACATGCGCCAAATGATAAGTATTGTCATTTTTTAAACATTTATAAGTTATACAGCCATCTTGGTATGTCGCATTTACATCGATACATGTGTTATCAAACCCAGAACATCCTGAAAAAATGAAATTAAACTGAATTTCCATTGATTGTTGAACAAGGAGAGACCAAACTATTTTCGTGAATCTCGAAGGTCGAATGATCAGCTAGTGTCCCTGTGCTTGGCAATGTATAGATTTCTAAAGTAACCAAGTTGGGAGGGAAAATCTGGCCATTTTCCCAACTTCCAATCTGTTCTACTGGTTGTGGCGTGGCAACCATGGGCGAGATAATTATTTTTAAAGATACATTATGGGATATTATATAAAGAGTTGGCATTTCTCACTATAATAGTTACAACCTAGATTATGTAAAGAGGGAATTTGCTGAAAATTTCAGTAAAATTGATCCACTCTGAACCGAGATTTTAGCGATTGAAATTTCGGCGTAGCCTCGATCAACATTACTAAAGTCGGTATGATAAAAACATAGTCTCGATTATCCATTTCATGATTAAATCTTGAATGTAAGTCGAACAGCAAATCGGAACCTAATCCAATTTAAACATCGCGGGCTAGCGATGACATCGAGAGTTAATTATGGTCTGGTTAAGTTAATTAAAGTCTAATTAATAATTGTTAACATTTCAGGCCCAAAGAAAGAGAGAGAGAAAAGCGGTTTAACGTCCACTCGACACAAACTAGGTCACTTTGGGACTAACATATGGTTCAATTTTATTTCAATAATTCGCTTGCGCATAGGGGTCTTTAGCAGTGGGGGGAAACCGAAGGACCCGGAGTCCACAGCTTACCGCCTTTAATTATATTGTAACCAACATAATTTCCATTCTTCTGACATTGTTGCGTTATGCATTGAACAGTGGACACATTCGAACCAATAGCTAAACACCCTTTACCATACGGACATTCTGAAATTAAAATACCAAGTTTCGCAATATGTTGTCATAAATCTAACTCTAACTCCATAATACTCGACATTGAAAACACGAATTAGAATTCAATATTGGTCCATTTCTGTCATTATTGATGCAGTTATCTTAATGTGAAAAATGGGCTCATGGGTTTCAATATTTAATACACAATGGACATTTTAAAATCAGTTCCCGACGTCGATTTCTCCATGGTGTCGTGTGCCAGTGGTAAGGAGATCATTTCACGAACATGTCAGTGCAGAAGTAATTGAAAATGGCTGCTCCACAAACGAAAAAAGGATAAAAAGATATAAGCATGTAGATCTGACCAACCAGGCGCAAACTGATTAAAAATTACACGAACAATCTTTAAAAATGAATGTTAATCAATCTATATACATTCGTGTTACATTACTATGTGCTATTCCACCCATTTTGTCTATTTTAATGTTCCAAAGAATAGAGCTGTCCACCCTTTAAACTTAAGTTTTCGTTGATTCTGTTATCCAATCTGACCCATTCAAGACTAAATAAACCTAACGATATTGAATAAGAAGCGATATTAACGCATACTTAAAAGGAGCTAATTCACTAATATTTGGGACCTAGAAATTGTCACAAATGGGACGCAGTGCATAATAATGTAATATGAATGTATATAAAATGATTTACATTTAATTGCTGTAATTCCTAATCAGTTATGTTCGGCGAAATATGCCAGAAGTTTCAACCGAATGTCAATCTCTAGCGTCTGGTTATTCCAGTCTACATCGATAGTGTTTATTGCACATGCTCTCCAGATAAGAATAAACCGTCACCGTTTGACATGACTTTTGAAATATATCTAGCCTCGTTCTTCGAGTCCCTTGTTACAAATGGCGCCGAAACGTAGCATGGTGCACGATTCGTGTACCAATGGTAAAATGTTTATTTTGTCTTAAATATTGGATATCAGAGGCCCATCTTTTCCCGGTAAGATCACAACATCAATGTTGATTTAAATTGACAAATAATTCGTGTTTTCCATGTCGAAGACTGAATTATCTTGAGTTAGAGACTTAGCTACTTTAAATATAGTTATTTTAAATATGCTTCCCTTTATTTGGTTGGAATTATAATTCCACCTTAATCCAGGGGTCAGAATAAACTTAAAAGACCCATATCAGATTACAGGATTATAGGGTTATGCAAGTGGGTTGAAATGACTTTTATATACCTTACACTACACTAAGTTTTATGTACGGTCTGGCTCGTTAACCACCCGATTAGATTTTATTACATACTTCGAGAAGGTATTTGTTGAGTAATAAAACCTTCTAGTAGTTTATCGAGGGCTGGCCGTCCTTACCGCACGGTACAAATATTATCACCACTAAAAGCAACAAATTCCAGAACAAGCCAGAACTCATACCAAAATGGCCGCTTTATACAAATGAGTATTTAGGGGAATACTAACCCGAACCCTAACCCCAACCCTTTTAAGAGACGTAAAAACTAAATTAGACCCAAGTTCAGTCTTTTAAAAAGGGTTAGGGTTAGGGTTCGGGTTAGTTATCCCCAAAATTCTCATTTATATAAAGCGGCTATTTTGGACTCCGGAAGCACCCGAACCTCGATAAACTACTAGAAGGTTTTATTTGTACCGTGCGGTAAGGGCGGCCAGCCCTCGATAAACTACTAGAAGGTTTTATTACTAAGGTTTTATTACTCAACAAATACCTTCTCGAAGTATGTAATAAAATCTAATCGGGTACGTTAACCCACAGGTTTCGGGTTGGCAAAGAAAGTATCAGGATCTTTGGACTTGGTTTAACCTTGTCGTGACCTGACCAGGAACAGCGTCTAGTCGTTCGGATGGGACAGATTGACATACACGTATAACAAAGAACCCATGACAGTTGCAATTCAAAATACGAGCACGCCGTAGTCCCACTGTCCCAGCAAAATGTCCCCCACTGCACAATGCTTGATGTATGTCCGTCATCAATAGCCCTGTCTGTGCAGAAAAATTTTACTCTAAACAATATTTCTTTCGATTTCCCTTAGGGTCAAAGATAGCATTTGTAGCCTGCATTGAGAAAACAGGTCATTACAATTTCTTCGAAAACAAAAACGCACCCACTTACAGTTGCCGATAATTGCTGATAATGCCCAATCTGTTGAATAGTATTATGCTCGCAAATCATGTGGGCTGACGAATTAAACCAGATAATAGGAAAGGTTATTTAAGATTCACTGCTGGCCATAAATTGAACGACCAGTCCGAATATTCTACAGAATGACCAAGCCAAATATATAATACGGATAATGTTCAGTTGAGATAGGATTTACCAGTATTACGGTTTAATGTTTTTGTGTAAATTTTAAAAAAAAGGCTTGGTCATATAATTACTTACTGAATTCTATAGGAATATAAGCCCTATTAACGCATCTAAAAGTAAAACAAGGACCATTTATCTTGGTGGTGAAGTTTTGACCATTAGGTACCAGATGACCATCAACAGAACATGCTAGTGTTGGATCGAGTGTCGGAGCAGCTTCTGAAACAAACGAATTAGGCATTACATACTGTTATCAACAACAAAAAAAATCTTTAACCTTTCAGCAGTCTTTTCGATCTTTATTTTTTAATGTGCTTTATGTCTTTCCTTATATATCTATCTGTGTAGCCAACCTCGTGGGTTTTCTCCGGGGCCTCCTTCCTTCCACTGCTAAAGACCCCATACGCGCAAGCGAATTATTGAAATAAAATTTTTAAAAAAACATATGTTAATCCCGAAATGACCTAGTTTGTGTGGAGTGGACGTTAAACCCCATTTCTCTCTCTCTCTCTCTCTCTCTCTCTTCTCTCTCTCTCTCTCTCTCTCTCTGTGTAGCTGCGGTTGCGAAGTGAAGAAGGCGCTGGCTCACTAACAAGACGACCCGGTATGCAATCTAATCTAGGTGTTGGGCGAGAAAGTTCCTCGGGATTTTCCAGAGTGGTAATGAAACGGGAACTAAACTGAAACCAAAATTAGCAGAAGCTAATGATTCATCAAGATACACTTGATTTGTTGTTAAACCAAATATAAGAACTAGAAAACATTCACAGCCTACGATTAATACTTGCTCCATTGGTGTTATAATAAAGAACGGATAAAACAACCACAGTCCTACAATATAAAAAATACAATACATATTAAATAGGCCACAGCTACATAAAACATAAATTAAGATCTAGTAAGTTGTGGGTTTCTTACACATACAGTTAAGGGCTAAGCTTGCTTCTAATTTATATTTCTATCAAAAAGATTATTTAAAGTAGCTAAGTCTCTAACTCAATATCATCCAAAATCTTCAACATTGAAAACACGATTTATTTGTCAAATTAAATCAACATTCATGTTGTGATCTTACCGGAAAAAGATGGGCTTCTGATATCCAATATTTAAGACAAAATAAACATTTTACCATTGGTACACGAATCGTGTACCATAATGCGCTTCAGCCCCAGTTAAATCAAGAGACTCGAGGGACGAGGCTAGACACATTGCACCAAATCAAACTGCGTATGTAGATTGGAATAACCAGACGCTAGAAATTTGCACTCGCCGAACATAACTGATTTTGAAATTGGAGTAAAAACGGAAACCACTGAATGTAAATCAGTTTATATACATTCCTTTAACAATAATATATATAGTTATTTGTATCTCTCATTTATTCGAAAAGTTAACATAAAAAAACAAACGTCATATTTCATTGTTACTTTAGTCTGTATGGATAATTTGTTTCTCTAATGTCAATTTGATGGGGTTCTGGGCTCTGAGGTGAAGATTTGTTTGTACGTTAATACTAGAGTGGGTGTGGGGGGGGGGGGTACAGAATCTCTAAAAGAATCATTTTCAAGAAAAGTGTCTATTCATGTTACCTGCTACAGGTATTAAGGAAGAAAGTATGAAGGTATTAATTATTCGACATCACACTACCCGTAACAAGAACGCCGTATAACACAACTTACCAATACACAGCCATCTTGAGTCACTCAAAGTAGTTCTTCTGTAAATTGTTTATATCTTTATCTAGTTATATATAGAGATATGAGATTAGACAAGAGCCAGATAAGAGTCTAGTATATGAACCCGTCAGTTATGTAACTCTTATTTAAGCACTGAAAATAAAAAGTCTTATTTCCTCACGTGATAATATGGTCGAACTCTGTCCAAGCATTGCGCAGCCCCCGCTAAACTCTGTAGGCCCCCCTCCCACCCAAATAATTTACAAACGGCACCGGGATTTTATGGATATGATGTAAAGAAGGTACATGTATATGGTTACAATTCGGCGATCCCTTTCCAGTTCGACTGCAGGTGTCAAAACACACATGTATTACGCGGATAGGTGCCTCTGTATGTTGCATAAAGTCAAGTGACAAACGTAACAGTGTGAATTTTGCTATGAAAAGAAGTAGTTATTCCAATCACAAGAACAAATCCTCAAACCGGAACAATAAAACATAAATAACTCTATACATATATATATAATATCTAAACATATACCTACAGAATATTAACCCAGTATAGACAGAATTTCAACAGGTGGCTATCTTCGTCTTCTTTTCCTCACAACAAAAATAACAGAGCAAAATTATACCGGCACTAAAGAAATTTAATTATACCTTAAAGGGCCAATCACGATAATATTTTGGAGAATAAAACTGCTTAATTTTGTGTTAAAATCCCTTAAAATCCCCTGCCTTAGGACCGAGCAACTAACTCAAGTTATGTGATGCGTTTTCAAACAACTTAAACCTGTCAGTCTTCATCTGGAAATGGAAAATGGTGTTCCACCCTTTATAATGCGGTGTCTGGATAAAACCAAACTTTTATTTTTATAAAAATAATGTGATGGGGAAATTTACCTTTCGTTATCAAGTACAGCACATGGGTCACTCAACGAAAAATTTGACCCCAAATCTTAAAAGGGTTACGTGTCCGGATAAGCAGTTTTGACATTGACGTCCAAACGACTCAATATTTTGAGCTGAAAGTTTGAGACAAGGTAGATACACCATTCCTCTATATTTTGGCGTTTAAATTTCATACGTACTCAGACTTTTATTTTTGAGACTCTGTTCAAATCGGGATAGTCCCTTTAACAATAAATACCCCAGAATACTGGACTTAATCGGTATTTAAATTCATATGCTTTCATAAACATTACTAACTAGTTGAATCCCTAAAAGTAATATCAGACCTAAAAAGGTTCAATTCCGTTCATTATTTATAAAGATATGTGAATTGACATCACATTCTCCTGACATAAGTGAATCACCTATAAGTGTAACCGGTTAGACGAAGCCTTCGGATTCTAAAGTGGTGTGGTTTCAAACCCACACTTGTACTTACCCCCCGCCCCCGCTCTCTCTCTCTCTTCATCCTTCATCTTGGATAATGACCTAAGCGTGGGTCACAAATATAATCAATCGCTATGCCTAGAATTACTGAATTATAAAATATCATCGGTATACTATAGACAGCCACTTTCACCCACTTCAGTCAAAGATTTGTTTTCCCGTCTGTTTTAATCGTGAGGGCAATACTTCTGCCAATAATCACTGAAATTCTTAAATAGTAAATGGAACACATCCCTATAACGAAACATTAACACTGCCAGTTTTACCCACTTAAATCGTCGAACGGATAGTAGTGTTGTATACACTCTTTTCTAAAAGTAGGTGTATAAAAAGGAAAAGGGTGTCTTGATTCTTGATACTGAGAAAATTTATATATATACAAAGAGCATGCATGAGGTTAATACGGGGGTTAAATAAATTTCATTCATCTAAAAAAAAAATATTGGAAATGTATATCTTTCAGGCAAATTTGTATAAAACAGAATCCCAATAATTAATAAATTTAAGATTCTAGTTATTAAAAGTCAGATCAGATCATGTAAGAAGGGTTACTTGATGTATTATGGGAATGTTAAGGTCTGTATTCAGTACAGATAGATTGTAATATATTTAGATATTACTGTCCTCGAAAGTCGTTACAGGTGGCGCGGAACTACGTCGAGTGTGTGGTAGATGCACACCCATCCCTTTTGTGTGTGTGGGTGTATGTGTGTGTGTGTGTGTGTGGGGGTGGGGTGGGGGTTGGGGGATCTTTACTACAAACGAACACCCATTGGGCTTAACGATGTTTACAATATTATAATTATATTTTCTCATCAAATTATTTGCCACTATCTCTATTCTTCATTGATGTATCCGGCTTAATGCCCCCCCCCCCCCCACCCAGAAAGTACAGCTCCTGTACACCAAACTTTGCTAAATATTAACCTTTGAAACATAACTAGAAGGAAGTATGTTAGGATTTTTTCTTTTCTCCTTTGTAATGGACGAAGTAGGTTTTTCTGGTATATAAAATGGTGACACAACTCCACACCACCCTATGCAACAAATACATTATAGAAACAACTTTCCTGTATACTATTCTCGCACACTCAAGTATTTCTTCTATAAATTGTTTTATACAGATAGATATGGGTTATATACAATCTGATTAAAACACAGATCCTATTTCGTTTCGTTTTTATAGTTCAAAATTTCGTTTTAATTGTCTTTGTAGGCCATCGAAAGTATAAAAAAACGAAACGAAATATAGATCTGTATTTTAATCAAATTGGGTTATATATAGGTCTGATGAAGGTAGTTAGCTCTCAATTAAAGCTTCCAGAAAGCTTTGCAATATGCATGATAACAGTCCACACAAATCATTCAAATCCGGTGGACCTAGATTTTATTGACTATCCTTAACCACTGGACCCAAGAACACAGCGGTCCACAGAAAGAACGAGTTCCTTATGGTCTACGGTATATAACATCCATAACCACCCCAAAAAACATCTTCGATATTCGACTTAGTCAAATCATGAATGGATTCGTCAAAACCCGACCGATTCTTTGAAACGAAACCGACAGTCAGAAACATGCGGATACTAGTTCTGCCTTTTCACGGCAGTTCGGAATAGGGTATTAAAGCATTGACGATACGATAGTTAGCAATTTGTTGCAGAGGTCAGTCAGACAATCGGTAATTGATAATAGCTTGTAACGGGTGGTATGATTATTTACTATAGATGTATCATAATTATTGACTAAAGATATTTAAAGTGATTTAAAATATAAAACCGGTACGTGGAGTAGTTCTATTCTCTGTGTCGGGTCACCGGAAACTTTCCTAGACAATTTTTACAGCGATGGTCGTCTATTTTTTTTTACGATCTCTGAGGTAAAAAGGCGACAGTGCTTTTTTGATCATGGTTATATTCCAGAATGCACAAAATCAAGCCTGATTTGTCAATAAATTTCTCGCCCCACTAACAGGTCCATTTTTCACTCAACCCCTCCACTTTAAATAACTTTTTAAAAAGGCCTGCAGATTTTAATTAAATGTACATTATTTCACAACAATATATGCATAAATGAGGCTCATCGTCATGAAATTTTGAAATTTGTATTAACCTTATCAGAGCTTCATATACTACTATGGATTGCAATGGGAAGTGAATGAAAGAATTGACAGATAACATTTGGAAGGTTCTAATCAGGATACCTGTTTTATTTTAGAATTACAATATATCATATCCTGATGTGTTTTAATTCTCTTTCAAAAATTATTTTATTGTACCAACAAACAAAGCTGACAATGTCAGATTCTAATGACAGCTGTAAGTTACATCTGGATTATCCATGGGCATGGTACATGTACAGTTCTGTTTTCTAACATCATCTATGACATAAGGAAATCTTTCTCCTGGCTTATGGCATTTACCATCAGCATCCATACATTCTGAAACTATATAAAACATCATATCTTGAAAGTAATTAATTAAGTGCCCATATTAACGTCGTTGTTAAATCTTATGTCTAACGCACATTCTTTTTTGGCTTTGTGAAGCAACGAGCAATTTTTCGGCAACTAGCGATGCTGCCGAAATCGCAGCTGTGTGTGCGCGTACAACTAGTTTGCAGCCAGTGATTGTGTGACAAGTCCAACCTGTGGCGTCCATCGATGAAAATCAAATCAAGGCGGACAGCCACTTTGAAAGATCACATAATATTTGAGCTTGTCCTGATTTATCAAACAAAATTTCTTGCCGCTGCACCACTGACAAATCCCGGGAGGTTTCTCAGTCAACACCAGGATTGAACCCCGGACATCCTGGTTAGTGAGTCAGCATATTACTCACTAAGCCACAGCTGCTCCCTGTGTAGAGACAGGGTATGCGTTCTCTTCTTGGAACACCAGTTACCGCTTTTAGTTTAGGAAGTGCGGGAAGGGGGTAACTCAACTGATTTAGATCATAAGGTCGGTGATTGAGACAATTTGCGTGGAGTTGCCTGCCCAACCCCTTGGGTTTTCTCCCACTGCTACAGGCCCTGCGCACAACCGATTTGCTGAAATAAAATTGTACGATGTTAGTGGTGTCGAGTGGACATTAAATCCAATTTCTCTACCTTTAGGAAGCCCATGAAGATTTTTGAATGATTTTGTATTGGATTTGTTTTGGATCCAGTGTACTGTTATCAGACGGTGGTGGTATTAAAAATGTGTCATTTAAATACTGTGTATTTATTGGCAAATACATGTGACCTTACTATTAGTTTGTATGTAGAAAATAGTTCCAGAATCGCCAGTAAGACATTGTTTCGTCACACAATTTACTGTTTCTTTGGCATTTAATGGTTTGCAAATTCCCAACCTGTCCTCACATTCTGAAAGAAATGCAAATATTGATTAAATTATTCTACCATTCAGCTGATGGAAAGTGACTCAATCTTCATCTTTTGGCTGCAAATTCACGGCATCAAAATATTCCAAAGAATATCTCTCTCAACACTGCCACAAGTTGGTGTGCCTGTGTTAGCAAGTGTTCAGCTCATGGGCATTTGGGGAAGAAAGAGTATTAGCTCATTAAATTAGTATAGGAAATTTTGGTTTGTGCAAATACAAATAGAAACCTCTAGTACTTTAAATTAAAGAAAATAAAAACAAGTACGATAGAACTATATGGACCAAGAACATGGCATGAAACCTCCGGCGCCATCTTGGAATTGTGAAATCATACCAAAAATTGAGGCGCCATTATCCAGAAAATAAGCATACCAAGTTTTATGTCGATCATACCTGCAATGACAGAATTTTCAGGCTTTTTTTTCGTATTTTCGAAGAGAGACGTCCTCAAAAAAGAACAACAAAATAGCACTTGTGACTAGTTCCTCGTCCATGTGTGTTTCATACTAAGATCAGTTTAAAAACATTGCGTCATTAAATTTTGTAAAAAAAATATAAGACTTCTCTATCAGATTGAAGTAATACCCACCTACTTTAAACTCCTTATAACCACCTTTATGACATTTGTATCGTGTACAATTTCCACCCATTTCAGGTACGGGGAATGTTGCACCTTCATGATAAACCTTTCCATTAACCACACACACATCTACAGCAATATATAAATATAATTATGTAAGACTTTGTGTATGAAATGAAATGGTGTTTAATGACCGACCGGGTAAATGATGTCGGGTGTAAGTGATGTCGGGTATAAGCCCTGCAATGTGCTATGAGGGAAAATTCCAATGTCTAGGGTTATTTTACGTGCACGTCAAGGTGTACATGACACCCGGGTTATTCGTTCCATCCGAACGACTAGACACTGTCCTTGCACGGCCGTCCGTCCTGCAACAGTAACAAAGGGTAACCACGTCGTAAAATCCCGATGAGTTTTCCCTGCCAATACCGGGAACGAAACCGAGACCTCCTGGTTAGCGAGCCAGCGTCTTACTGACTGAGCCACCGCATCTCCCGCGTCGTGTATGAGTCTCTGTATACAGTATTAGTTTTATATATCATATTGTTCTTGCTAGTCAACCAATACACCTCTTCAAAGTTGAAACACTTTGTCAAAGTGTAAGCTATTGTTGCAGAATTTTAAGTTTTTGAAATTTATGAAATTCGGTGTAATGCTTCATCTTTAATTGTTTTGAGAGGAGCATCCCTTCCCTCTCCCCCCGTATTATGAATACAAAAGACTTACCATTTCCAACAGGTTTAGATCCAATCACAGAAATACAACAGAGCAAAGCTACCACCAACGGCCACACCGCCATTTTGTATGACTCTAAACTTTGTTTTCTATTTTGTGTTATACAGATCAATGAACAATATACAGAATATTAAATATATTTAGTCAGATTGTCGATATATATCATAAAGAAGAAATCAAATATAGTACCTGCTGTTTGCATTCCTTAGTTTAGCTATATTCAGATGTTTAAATCCAAGCCGTAACAGCTTGATATAGGAGTGTTTTATTAACTTCGTATAATAATCAGTTATATTTTAATAGACATGCCAATATTCGAAGCTAATATGCAATATTAATATTGATAAATAAATAATTTATGACGATTAAGCACTAAACCACTGTTTGGTAAATTTTATTTGTGCATGAGAATCCAAAATTCTAAATTAAAACAGAGCACAAAGTTACTTAATATTCTGGTTCTTTGGAAGAATCTGACCCGAAAAGCTTGTTGTTATCTATCTTAATGTGTTAAAGTTAGAAAACAAAGTATGAAAAGTACCAAGTTGAGTTTGTAAACCATGTCTAATTGATGTAAACTGAAAAACTTCTATAGTGAAAGGTATACATGTCTCCGATCTTATTCTCGCTATATCTGATAAGGTAAAGAAATAGTCTACCCGTGTGTTCCAAATATCAGCATGGGTGTAAAAGGGCGCGAGATAACTCCCGTACTTTAGAAATAACCGTTGAACCAGAAGGTACAAATTTGTACCTTTGTTGATCAGAAATTGGGTGTTATAAGATTATTGAAGGACTAGCATATTTGGGGCATTGAAGCACCAAGTGTTATTGGGGCACTACCAAGCCAGACTCACCACTATTATCCTCTTCATTGGCATTGTTCCACAACTTTACTTCTGTATTGGCTGTTTGTTGCATTTTGAACATTAAGGAAGAAAAAATAATACGCAAAAACCCTTCACCTGTCCAATTCAATAGGGACTAAAATCCCAAGTCCCTATTCTATCTGGAATAATAACATGACATCCATCTATAGCAGGCTAAAGTAGCTTACTAAAAGTTATATATGGAATAACAATTACTGGTTTATAAACATGTAAAGTTTCGATAATAGTACTCTAATCTTTATCAAGCAATAGTAAGACAAGAGTACCATCTAATTTTTGAGTGGCATTTAACAATTATTGAGAACATTAAAAACACAACACAATTTATACGGGAAACAATCACTGTTTTGTTTTTTTTAAAGAGTACCGCCGTCGAAATGTATTACGTTAACAAACCAGTTATTGCTTCTGTCGGTGCAGCACAGTAGGATTGATTTATAGTATTTATATACGTTTAAGTATGTTGCTAGTCGATTACCAAAGGTCACAAAGAAATACAGTAGCTATTCACCCTACAACGTTCCCTCTTTAGTAGTGCTCCCGATAGGTCAAAGATGGGCATACGCCATACAATGTATGACTATGAGAACGATTTTGCCCGGAGAGCGGAGTTACGACCTACACTTATATTCCAAGCGTTCTTTTACGTGCACTCCAACGCAAACACGAGGCCTTGGTTTTCAACTGTCCTTGCCAGGCACCCCGTCATGCACAACTTCCTCGACCAACTCCCGGGGATCGAACCCGGATTTCCTTGTTTGTGAGCCAGCATCTTACTCACTGAGTCACAGCGCCCCCCCCCCCCCTCACCATTATTTGAAAAGCAGATAAACACCAAAGAGTTTTACCCCTAGCAGCCCTTTAACACAGGATTAGTTTAGTGATAATTGCTGGATTTTGATAAGAAACCGGTATATGGGTTAAATAAAAACTATCGAACACTCCTTGATATGTGTTATTTATTTCTAGATTAAACTTATATGGTACACATATAAACAAATTTATGTTCGATAAAGTCACAAGAGCACTCTTCGTATCTATAGCCTTCCATACGCAGAGGAAATATGGCCTTCAATCCATGACACTGTCCATGATAATCCTTACACCCTGCAATAAACATACCATCAATGAGAGTGGATGAAAGGTTGCTTACCCCAACCCCAAAATAAGATATATTATGTGATAAATGACATCAGGTGGTAAAGGCAGTGTTTCCTGCATGACGCCCGGCAAAATTTCTAGCGGCAAAGTGTGTCCTGGTGTATTCCTAATCAATCTGATTAAAACACAGATCCTATTTAATTTCGTTTTTTTATAGTTCAAAATTCCTTTTTACAACACTAGGATCTGGAAGGGATAAATCTATTTGTTAAGGCCGACCTTAATTTTCGTCAAGGTCGCTGAGATGTAAATAAAGTTAAGGCACGTGATTTTTGGCGAGATTGTAGGTTAGGTGTAAGAATTTGGGGGAGAGGTTTAAGTCAGATTGATTCCTAATCAAACTAAAACAGCCGACACCCTTTTTGTATAGATAAATGTAGTATTAACTTTTGCATAGATTCCAATACAGCGTGTTCGTTTGGTCTGTGATTTTCTGAATCATTCCCATCAATGTGGACTACCACAATTAATTATGTTCAGATTTCATTATCTGGCCTCCACTTGTCCGTCACAGGGCATTTAAGATATAATTTAACATTACACATTTAAATATTGAAAGTGTACAACCCACGCTTGTCGGTAACACGATGCACATAATATGAGCCCGTCTTTACATTATTCTATTTTACCGTTATTTTTAATTGACCATTTAATTAACTTTATTTCAATAAAGTTATCTTATCATAAAATGCTCATGCACTTACTAGCCCTTAAGACATAAAATCTTGCACTACCGCCTCTTACTTCACATCTCTTTAAGGAACAGTTATGTTCATACTCATAACCCAGAGGTTGACAAACATCATCATGGTCTTCACATCCTGCAAGATGAAAACACTTTATTGAACGACGCATCATTTCAGAGAAGATCCCATTTTATTGGCATGTAACTACACGAGTCATGTTCAGAAATTTGTGTGGGTCTGTGGGATTACCAAGACTTTTATCAAATGAGAAATTTTGGGACAAGATTTGTGGTCATATAGATGCATATGCTGGGCGCATTTTTCACCCTTCGGAGAGATTGCCATCTGCGTGACCCTACTTACCAAGCTGTTCACGCAGATTACACCTTGCTTGCGCCGATTGTAATCTGCGAATATCAAACTGGTGCGCAGATTGTCAACTTTGCGCTGATGTTTGCCCTAATGATTTTTCATATAACTTTCAAAATCACTGCATAATTAGCTTGTGTGCTAAGAATAAGATTTAAATTGCAGTCCGTTTTATCTTATAATCTTCGCTATTACCTCAGGTGAATACGTAACTCAATGCCCAAAAATATTTGCTGTAAGTACCGGAAACTTCAGTGTTATCGTTGTATAGTTGAAATAAATACATTTATGACAAACAATCGATAGCTTTTTAAATATTTTAGCAACGTGTAGGTACGTGTTTCCCAATTCTGGTTTAGTGGACAAAACTCTTTAGATACATGTATGTATGCCTATGTGTGGGCCCAATTTTTTCAAAGGGCTGTCGGGGGGTGACGCAGCAAAAATTTGGTTAGTTCCCACAACTCATCATCAATAGATCTCGCTTTAACTCCGTACAACTTAATCAAGACCTTCATATAACGTCATATCCTGCATATTTCGGCACTAATTTCGATTGGCTACTGTCAAAGATGGAAGCCTATCAAATTCCCCGATCATCGCGATTAAAAAGTCTCGCGTGTTCTAGCTTAAATGTCTACTTGTGATAATCGAGTTGCAAAGTTCAAGGTTCGTTCAATGTCAAGGTTTCCGGTGAGGTCGCCATGTTTGATTTGAGTGTGTTTGTGCCACAACCTCTGATTGGACGCTATTGTTTACGTGTCTGCGTTAAAGGGAGATAACGTAGCTATTAGTTAAGGAATTGCAGACCAGTCTAGCAACGTCTAGATGTTGTAAAACTCGCGGTCGTTGCTTCAGGAACATGCCACTAACTGTGCGATCATACTTCTCTTTCCGTATCGCCTTGCTCGTATTTGTACCACTAAACTGACGGTCACAAACTTCATTTACTACAAATAAAACTAACGCAGTGATCCATGGTGAATACCAATCAAGATTACGCGGATTATCAGTGTGTATGAAGTAGCTGATAACTTTGCCCGGACAGTGGCGCTATGGCCCACTCTTATTTCGAATTCCAACTGTCAAGGGTTCTTTTACGTGTACACGGGGTCTCGGTTTTTCGTCCCATTAGATCGAGTTTACATTGTCCCTTGTCGGCATATCCGTCCTATACCATTGGCAAGGGGCAACCGCGCCGGAAAAACCCGATGCAATTTCTCGGCCAAATCAGATACTCGAGATTTTAACTAGATTAGAACGGTTCGACCATTTAATTAATGATTAAATTTTAAAATGGGGAAGCTAGACTAAGACTCGAATATACGAGTACCGTGGTTACGATAATATAAAATCAATACACACATATTGTCCAAACTGCAAACTTTGAACTAAGAACGGCCAGCTCTTTATCTAATGTATCTTTAAGATTTTGTCAATGTAGATATATGGTAATATTTCAAGGTACAATTATTTCGTTAACATTGAAACAGATACATGTACATGTTATAGGGCGTATGGCTCGATTCGTTGGAACCTTAAAATAATCGAAAATGGGTCTAATAGTACATATTATTAATGTAATATGAATGTATCAAATTAGTCCATTCTACACGTTTTTATCAGCATTATTTTTTCGTTTTATAATCGGAATTACTAATTACTTCCGCTTTGTGGGGATATGTTTTTCTTTGTCCATTATAAATGGAACCCAAAACTATAGAATATACGACTACACGACTCGTGTATTGATAATAAAATGTTCACTGTGTCTTAAATATTGGATATGAGGGTCCCATATTTTCACGGCAAGATAACAACATCAATATTCATGGAAATCGACCAGTATTGAATTCTAATTTATGTTTTTAATTTCTAATATTATGCAAAGTATTGAGTTAGAGGACAATATAGGCTTAGCTCCTTTATATCCAGCATTACATCTAAATCTACTCACCTTCAGATATTCTAGCGACCTTTCCATCATGGCATATGTATTTTACACATGGTCCTGAACGATACGTAGTAAACGTAACACCACTTTCATAGGTACCATGTTGACTAACACATGGCTTCACTGCAAACACGTTAAAATAGTTTAAGTTTAGGCCTATATACCGTTTATATGAAAATGAAATGAGGTTTAACGTCCCACATTGTTTTGCACCGATCGGGATGATGAAGACGGGGATAATGCCATGCATTGTGCTACGGGCGTATATATAGGGAAGGTATTAACTGGACAGCGGCGCTACGGCCATCTTGTTCGAATTCCAACAGTTTACACGGAGCCTCGGTTTTCTTCCCATCTCGACAAATAGGGGGACTACTTAAAGCAATAATTAATATCTACCCGATGACGTAAAAGGATATAACTTCTTATAAATAACTCAACTATTGAACACGGTGGATTTTTACACCAGTCAGATCAATAGGTTTTTGGCGCTTTTGGGAGGTTTTTTTTCGATCGAAATAAAGGAGGTCTTCCCCAATTAATACTTTTGTATCTCACTTCTCAACAAACCCGAACGACTTCAACAGATCACGATAGCAGCAATAAGCATTTCACTCGACAATTGTGGAACTTGCCAATGCCAAACTAGAGAGTTATTGGAGGTTCCGAATTGGGAAATCTCTACTAATTTCAGTATTTCCATTATTTGTAAATTTTTGACGCAGCTAGTGTTTCTTTTAATAAATCCCACACAAAGACGGTTAAAATCACAAATCAAGCAATATATTATATATATTATAGGCTATTTTCAAATCTGTGAAATACATAGTTTGATACATGTTTAAGGACATCAAAAGACACCTTAAAATACTTACATGGCTTGGCATCGATAACTGTTGTGAGCCCTATTAAACAACTAATCAAAAGAATTAGACACGCCATATTGAATTTTAGCTCAAGTTCCCATAAAATAAGCTACAGCCATTTGACAGTTAAGTAAGAAAATATACAACAAATTATTATTTGTTGATTTACGATTCAAGTGGTGACAGCTTGGTTTCTTCATAAACTGTGCATTTATCGAGTTTCGCTGACTCTGTCCCAGCAAAAAAAGTGTGGTTATTTCCCTTCTATTATCTTAAACCCGCGGGCACAGTAGTGGTCAAATACAATTTAATCTGATTGGCCCCTGACTAGTAATCCCACAGTATGTCACAATAATCTGATAACAATATTTATATGGGTCGACCGTTTCGATTTTTTGCTGTTTACATCCTGATCCTTCCGCCTCAAAATCAGGAATATTCACCAAAACCTGGCAGAAAATAGTAATTCAAACATCATTCTTCGATTCTAGACCAAAAAGTCCATAAAAATTGTTATGCAAACGAGGTGAAAAAAGAAAAAGATAGAATTGCTATATATAGAGGCATTACATTCGTTAAAGAATGTGATTATTTCGCCAGAATTATACGTATATTGGAAATCAAACCCTGAATTTGTTTTCAAAGATTAATAATTCTATTTTAACTTCAGAAAACGTGGTTATTTCCCTTGGATGAACGTAAATTTTTAAGCACTAAGACAAATTATCGACCCAAGTCACTTCTTAGTTTCCCCTTATTCGTTTCTACTCTTGTTATATTAACTCATAGCGAAGCGAAGCCGTGACGGAGCGATATTTCTTACATTCTTGAATTCGCTATGAGTCTATAACTGGAAGGCAAAGGCAAGAAGCCAAGAAGTCATTTCAAGTCGCCTTCGTCTTCGATTTATATTATGCTTTTGAAATAATAAATTGTTGTTTTAATTAATTGAAATGAAATGAAATGAAATGGGGTTTAATGTCCTACTATTCTGCTCCGAACTAGGCTAATGAAGACAGGCATACGCCATACAGTGTGCTATGAGGGACATTTTGCCCGGACAGCGGCACTACGGCCTAATCTTCTATCGAATTCCAACTGTCAAGGGATCTTTTACGTGCACGCCAATTTTAATTAATTGATAATTGTGTTTATTTTACTACATTAATAAAGTGTTCTATTCATTTGATACGGATTTTAGGACTAAATATATGAATAAATAGTTTTTACCAACCCCTGTTTTTAGAAGCCCGTCCATTACCATGTTTTTATTAAGTATAGCGCCAGTACCGAGTAGTGTCGAATGGTACTGAATGTTTGTATTGTTGACTCGCGTAAACGAGTGTGTCTCTCTCTTCCGGTTCCTTCACTGACCATGCTGGATTATTAAAATATTCATCTTTGACAAAGTTGTTCGTTGAGTGTTCGTCCAAAGTGTGACACTATTGACTGGCGTGGTGGCCGGAGTGGGATACAAACTTTTCGCTCATTATAAACTTGTACATTCTCCCATACTTTGTATTGTGTATATTTTTGTGTTAACCAGCAAGTTCACCAATGGCGAATAACACACGTGCACCCAAACAGTGGTGCCTCACTAAACACGAGAATATTACTTCCTTTGAATTATGGCGACAGAATCTCCAATATTGTTTATCGCTGGATCCGAATTTTGCACCTTTCCTGCTTGACGGTGCAGTATGGCGAAAGAAAACTAATGCTGAACCTCTAAGAGGCTTTCAGAATGACCCACGAGACGCACCGGACCCAAGGCGTACAGCTCAACAAAAAGCTACTCATCTAGACCTAATGTTGGGTCAGATTGCAAATTATTGCCCGGTTGTTTCAAGGAACACTATTGTTAAGAATTCTACGTCAATTAATCAAATCTGGCAATGTATCCGCCTTCATTTTGGTTTCCAGTCCACTGGCGCACACTTCTTGGACTTTAATAACATTCGATTGGATTCATCTGAGCGTCCCGAGGATTTATACCAAAGACTCATGTCATTTATTGAAGATAATTTATTAAAGGCTAACGGTGATATATCGCATCATGGTGTAGTACCCGTCCTTGATGAAGAACTCTCTCCATCATTGGAAAATATCATCATTTTGGTTTGGCTTCGCCTCATTCATCCCGACCTACCTCAATTAGTTAAACAGCGGTATGGAACAGAACTTAGGTCACGTACCATTGCTAGCTTGAAACCTGAGATTTCACAAGCCCTGGATTCCCTTTTAGATGAAATACAATCCTCGTCAGAAGCTCGTGTTCTTCGTTCATCTACAAATGATTACTACAAGAAGCCATACACTAGTAAAAGACCTCCTTCTGCCAAGTCATGTCCTATTTGTAAACAGGCTGGCCGTCCTCGCTACCAACATTATCTCAGTTCGTGTCCGTTCTTACCTACAGCTGATCAAAAATTCCTTTCTAAAGCCAGACTTATTTGTAGCTTTGAGGGAGACAATGGTGATGATGAAGACGACAACCCTCCTGTACCTGTTGAATCTCCTCCTGGACATATCGCCTGTCGTGTTAGCATAAAGCAGTCTCCCCACATCAAAGCATTTTACAACCACCACCCGTTACAACTTACCATCGATACTGGAGCCGAAATTAATATGATTAAATCATCAGTGGCAAATTATATTGGTGCCCCTATTGAAACAAGCACACAGCGTGCTCTGCAAGCTGATGGGATCACACACCTTTCCGTTATTGGTGAGACTTACATCACCCTCACAAGAGGTAATTCCACTCTATAACTCGAAGCTTTGGTTGTCGACGATATAGATGTGGATATTTTGGCCGGTACCCCGTTTATGACAACGAATGATGTCTCGGTTCGACTGCTTGCAGCAAGTCACGCTAGGTGAAAATGTCATTCAATATGGCCCTAATCCGCTGCAGTCATCTCACCATGCTGTTCGCAGAACTCAAGCATATGTGTTGCCTACTATATCCACCATCGTATGGCCAGGTGATTACCTCGAAGTTGACATTCCATCAGATATTGACCCAGATAGTACTCTTGCGATAGAAGGTCGATGGGATTCCCCACACTCTCGAAACAGTAAACCATCACAGATATGGCCTCAACCCACAATACTAGACGCTGTTGCCGGTTAACTTCGCATTCCTAACACATCTATTGAACCACAACCAATTTCAAGACATTCACATTTCTGTCAAGCCAGATTGGTAAAGGACTATACACCCGGTGATACCAATTCTTCATTGGCCGTCACAACTTCAGCTAATGTACCACAAACTAAACAGCCACAGGGTCATAACTCAGCAGCCATAAAGCTAGATCCCGATAATATTTTGTCTTCAGATGACTTTAGTAAGTTCCAGAATCTATTACACACATTTGAGAATATCTTCAGTAAGAACATATCGTGCTATAATGGTGCTGCTGGTAATTTTCAAGCTGTAGTAAACATGGGTCCTGTCCAGCCCCCACAAAGAAAAGGCAGAGTTCCGCAGTACGCTAGAGATAAACTTACAGCATTACAGGAAAAATTTGATGAACTGGAAGCAGCTGGGGTGTTTCGTCGTCCTGAAGATTTTGGTGTGTCAGTAGAGTATCTTAACCCTTCCTTTTTAATACAGAAACCTAACGGTAGTTACCGCCTTGTTACCGCTTTTGCCGACGTTGGACGATACAGCAAGCCTCAACCTTCATTAATGCCGGACGTTGAATCTATCCTTCGCACAATTGCTTCCTGGCAGTATATCATTGTAACTGACTTAACAAATGCATTTTATCAGATTCCCCTATCAAAAGAATCGATGAAATACTGTGGTGTCGCTATCCCATACAAAGGAGTTCGTGTTTACACCAGGTCTGCTATGGGTATGCCTGGTTCCGAGACAGCACTTGAAGAGCTTATGTCTCGTGTTCTTGGTGACCTCTTACAGAGTGGAGTTATTGCGAAATTAGCAAATTTGTATATAGGCGGCAACACCATAGAGGAATTGTTATCCTATTTTCAAAAGACATTATCGGCGCTCAATTCTTGTGATCTTCGGCTATCTCCTACCAAGACTGTCATTTGTCCTACTACTACGACTATACTAGGTTGGATATGGACGAAAGGTTCAATATCAGCTAGTCAGCACCGGATCAGTACGCTCTCGTCATATCCACCTCCTACAACTGTTCGTGGTTTACGGTCATTTTTAGGCGCATATAAGGTCTTGAGCCGAGTTATTCCTAACTGTTCTCACATACTTACCCCTCTCGAAGACTCAATCACAGGTTTACAGTCCAAAGATAAACTTACTTGGTCGGATGAACTTTTACTACACTTCACCAAGGCTCAACAGTCCCTACATACCAACCGATCCATCGTTTTACCTCGGTCAACCGATCAACTATGGATAATCACTGATGGTTCCGTATCAAAACATGGCATTGGCGCAACTCTGTACGTTACCCGTTCAGAGAAGCAGTTATTAGCTGGATTCTTCAGCGCTAAGCTTCGCAAACACCAGGTTACGTGGTTACCCTGTGAGATAGAGGCATTATGTATAGCAGCAGCAGTCAAACATTTTAGCCCATACATCATCCAATTCAGCCATAATGCTTGCCTTCTCACAGACAGTAAACCGTGTGTACAAGCATTTGAACGTCTGTGTCGTGGTGAATTTTCCGCCAGCCCACGTGTAACATCCTTCCTTTCGGTTGTCAGCAGATACCAAGTGAGTATTCGGCACTTGGCAGGTACTGCCAACGTGCCATCTGATTTTGCCAGTAGAAATGCCCTTCCTTGTGTAGAACCAACATGCCAGATCTGTCTTTTCATTAATAATACGGAAAATTCAGTGGTACGGAGTATCTCTGTTAAGGACGTCATGAATGGTAGTCAACGGTTACCCTTTACCACACGTTCTGGTTGGATCGCAACTCAACATGACTGTCCTGATTTACGCCGTGTTCATGCCCACCTCAAACAAGGCACTCGACCGTCCAAAAAGTTAACAAATATCCGCGACATCAAACGTTACCTCAATCTTGCTACTATCTCTAAGGACGGGCTATTGGTAGTTAACCAGGATTCACCTCTGATGACCTCAACTGAATTGATTATAGTCCCACGCCCAGTTCTGGACGGATTATTAACTGCATTACACTTGAAGTTCGACCACCCATCACGG